AAAGTGCTGAGTGCTGGGGTGCTTCACTCACTAGGTCAGGGCTGACATGGGCAAGTTGGCTAATAAATAGTCATCACGTGGCTACCGCGAGCTTATATCGCAGGATTTCAACTGAGTGTTGGGGCTCTTCGATGGTAGGTTCGGACTGAACGGGCGGATGTACTATAGCACGTTACCGCTAGGAGCCTAAATAGGACTGTGGCAGGATAGGAGAATAAAGCGTGCTTAAAGATAAAAGAAGTATTACGCGCTCATGTTGAGGAAGTGGATTGAGTAGCGATTTATAAAGACAGATTTTGTGTTGAGGAAGTGAATCATTTCTGTCTAAGCCCTCATGTTGAGGAAGTGGATTGAGAGGCTATATTATGTGTAAATTGGGCCTGTGTTGAGGAAGTGAATCAGGTCCACAAATTTGGAATTAAACCTAGGCAGTGTAAATTAAGTCTGTGTTGAGGAAGTGAATCAGGCTAATTAATTTGGAAATAAAACCTAGGCAGTGTAAATTAAGTCTGTGTTGAGGAAGTGAATCAGACTAGTTCAGCTGAAAGCCTAGGTAATGTACATAAAGTCAGAAGCCGGCAGGAGATAGGAGTCAGAAGACATACGTGCATGTAAATATTGCTGAAAATATAGTTGATAGCTGTGTGTTAAGAAAAAGTGCATATAAATGTTACCAAGGCCTAAAATAATAATACTAATAGTTTGAGTCTTGAAGCCTCATGTTTAAGACCATTAGATAAAAAGTATAAAATAATGATAGTTGAATAACTGATCTAATATTAAACTAACATAAAGCTTAAGGATAACAGATGAATAGAGTTGATATGGTGATATAAATAAGTATAAGAAGTTGATGGAAGGAGTTATAAAGTAAAAGATATATGAATATATATTGATGAAATAGTGAATGTGGACTAGTGTAAAAGACGGCTTTGATGCAGTCTCAGATTGAATTGTGATAAAGCTATGTGCAAAATAAAGTTCTGAAGTGGCAGTCCACGCCCGAATAATGAAGACTGGAAGAGAAAAGAAAAAAGGAGTTTGCTCATGTTAGCAGAGAGGCACAGAGCAGGAGCTGAGCTGTGTCTGTGTGAGTGTCCATGTGGGGGAGGACAGCAGGCTGAGAGAGAGAAAAAGAGAGCAGTTCAGCCCTAAACCAAAAGTTATGAGAGTTTTGTGATCTGTTGCACCTTTCTAGGATAACAACAGCACGTTATAGCAAGTTACTCATGAGTTAATAATAACAGAAGTTATAAAAGTTTTTTGAACCAATAACAGCCTGACAGTAAGCAGATTAGTAAAATAACGGCAATGACTGCTGGATACGAAAAAGAAAAGTGTAGTTGAAACAGCCTACAGTATTATGATAATAAAGGAAATTTAGTTCAGAATAACAGGCTGAAGACACTTTTTGGTCGAGGAGAAGGAACAAAACTAGAAAAATGATGACATCTGATAAAGTTTGCAAATTTATTGAAAGATAAAAGTACAGATTGATAAGCAGCAATGTGAGGTGTTATCTATGAAGGATTTATGTTATAGAAGGGATTGAGAGCCATCAATTTTGTATTAGATGTGAGAAAATGAATTTGATATTTTAATAGTTGTTAGTTTCACTGAAGGTAGTTATTTTTAGTAAACTCTGCTTTGATTATTTTTCAGTTGAATAGCTCTTTGATATAAAAACAAGGGGAGCTGCCTGAGTTTCTTTCAATGAATTGTTTCATTCTAGTTTCTTGGTTGTGTGGCTTTACAATGAACTGTCCTTTTCTTTTTCGAGGCATGAAGGCCGTCCAAATTCTAAAGTTTCCAGAGAGTAAGTGTTTGCTCGCAGTGAGTGTGCGATGGCTGTCCTGGGAGGCACACAGCAGGTGAAATTAAATGGTAAAGAGCAGAAAAAAGAAATATTAGCTGCAAAGGTGGTCAAAGGAGGGAGCTGTGGCAGCAACATATGTGGTAACAGCACAACTAAGTAGTTAAAGATAAAATAAAAAACGTCAGATAAGAGATAGAGAAAGCTCAGAATGAAGGGAAAATAGGGAGAAACAGTTTGACCAGCAGGTAGATAATACTGACATACGATATAGCCTTTAGTGAAGGAAAAGTAGTCACTGAGACAGAATAATGAAAGAGCCCATCCTGGTAGATAAGGTCTAAATAGATATACCCCCAGATGAAGAAACGTATACAGCAAGTGGAAGAAAGATATAAGTAAGTGCAGTCAAGGGCCAGTACAGGCAGAAGAAGAAGAAAAAATAATTAGGGTCTTTAAAGGGTTGAGTTCAGATATAAAGGAGAGATGGAAAAAGAGGCTATAATAGATAGGGAGGAGACGAGAGCTAGATATGATTAGAAAGAATAACAACTCCCGAACGAAGTGAAAAGTTCGTCATAGCACAGATCTCAGAAAGACAAAAGATCTGCCTACAGACCAAGATACCTGCAGAGCTCAACAAACCATGAGACATGACGACAGCGAGACAGAGCTACAGTGGACAAGATGGCAGCTCTGAAGTTTCATGAAGAAGGCGAGAGAGCAGCTTCAAAATAGACACAGCAGAATCTGACTGTGAGGAAGAAAGGGAGGTGATACAGGAGGCGTGCCAACCTGATGCATCACAGGCCCAAGCCCACCTCCACTGACGTCAGCATCTTCCCAACGCTGAGGACGCGGCCAGTCAGACCACATCTACCATCTGCAGTTGAATCATAAAGAGGACAACACCAACTTAAAGACTGTGAACCTATCAGCACAAAGTTTAAAAGGTCAAGAAGGCTTCACAGTGAAAATGAACTTCAGCCAAAATGCTCTCACATGTGACCGAGTGCTGACAGAGACATCACCAAGGAAGCGCTCTCTGTCTCACATGATCAACATTACAAATGGTCAGACTATCAGAGGCCTTGAAAACTGCAACATCTGCTGAAAAAGAACTGTTTGAAGACCTCACAGGAGTTTGGGAGCAGGAGTGTTGAAAAATAGAAAGATAGGGGAAGAAAAAAGAAAATAGAGACTGATGTTAAATCCAAAAAGACTAGGAATAAGAATAAGGTTAGCTCAGGATATATAAAATAGCAAGATATGTCATTAATAATTGATTCATTAACACAAATATACTGAGTCAATAACTTTGCTGCTCTCCTCCAGCAGCCACCTGTTACTAAATTTCAGCAAAAAGGGATCAGAACATCAGGCATTCCTTGTGTTTTTAAACAGAGTTTTTAGAAAAAAGGGATCTAGTGGGATTATTTTATATTATAACTGTTAGAGATCACTGTCTGCTCTGGGTTTGTGCAGAGGAACAGCCAGCGCAGAGCTCCTCAGTGTAGCAAATACAATGACAGGCAACCTTTCAGGCTTGATTTTAAAGAGGCCGAAAGGAGAAGCCTCATTGCCTTTATAAAGCAGTTTCAGCAGCACATTGCTATTGCATGCTTAAATATGATGATTGTGAGTCTTAAATCATGATTGACCTTTGTCATGTATTCCACAGGAACAACCAACACATGTGATGCTGAACAGTTAATCTATGTTTTCTTTCTGTTTTTGTAGGTAGTATTAGTAAACTAGTTTAAAGTATGGAAGAATTGTGGTGCACTAATGAATAATGGAGTGTTTCAAGATTTGCTATTTGTACATCCAATAGCAATGTAATTCAATACACAGATATACAGGATGTTAGAGGGGTTAAATTGCAAGCAAATATAATAGGATATCTAGAAAAAGATTAGACAGATAGAAACAATAGTTAAAGTCTCCAAACTACAAACAGTAGGATAAAGCTCACTTATTGGTAAGAGTAAGATACAGATAAGCAAGCTTAATAATCCTTCACAGCCAGTCAAAAACCAGAGGAGGCAGACGCAGCAGCAGGCAAGATCAAGCGCGACCTGCACCACCACAGAGACGACTTTGACTATCACCAGCTATGAGTCCAAGTGAAGCAGCAAAAGGAAGAACAAGACTGAAACTACAAACGACTGAGCGCCCTCAAATTGGTACCCAGTCTGTTCCCCAAGAAACCTGAGTGCCCAAAAAGAGTTCCATAGTACCACGGACTAAACTTTCAAAATGGACATCATACATGTTTATTGGACATTTTACACCATTCTGAAGTGTCACATGAATCATTGTCAAAACACTGTTATGTCTGGTTACTGTATTGTTACACAGAAAGTTCACTATGCACCATGTGATTGTTTTGATGATGTGAGCCTTTCAACACATTAGGTGTTGTTATAATTGTTAAGAAAGATATTATTTGTTTCACGAGTGTAAACCATTTACAAGGTATATCTCACTATATTATAGCGAATAGTATAGGTAGTTTAATATGTTAAGCTCATTTAAAGGGTAATAAGGAGAGAGGAGTAATGGAAATCCTTGTCATTATAACTTGCTCAAATGTGTTAGAAACAGGAACATCCCACCGCATGATTATTGATTATTTCACAATGTGTAAACACTAATTTGGGTATTTTCTTGAAGGTCTACAAGTCTGAGAAATAGGTTTCATATGAAAATACAATAGGCCGCCTATTTTCAGTGGTCACAGTGTTGGTGTATAAAGTGTGAGGCTTTACAGCCTCAGAGGAGGGAGTGTTGTGAATTATTTTGGAGCATTATAGCCTAAATTGTTATCATTTATTACTAGAGCAATGGTGGTCTACATTGTCATCATTTAAAGTGTTATTTTATAGTGTAAAGTTAGGATCACAGTGTTAAAACTCTACAGCTCTGAGTGTGTGTGCTCCTTTCTGTACCTAACTGCCCAGGCACATGTGTGTGTGTGAGCAAGTTCGTGTGCTTTGGGAGAAAAGGGAGGGAGCATCAAAAATACCTGCAAAGTAAAATATAGAAGCAGATTTTGTGCAAATTGTATAACAAAACATACATCAATATAGTCCATCACAGTAAGAATGTCCTGTTTCTAGCACGGAGCACAAACAACACCAGTTTATTCCACAAAAGTCAGGTTATGGAAGAAATGGCTTGATCAAGCAGAGTTCATGCAGAGGACACAGAGAGGAGGAGCAGGCAGTCAGGGACTTTCCCACCAAATGCTTGGGCACGTGAAAATCTTGGACTTTCCCAGACCCAGGTGCAGTGGGAAAGAGAGCCAAGAGATGATGTTAAGCCAAGAAACAGAGCTATAAAAGGAGGTCCAGAAGGAGGTGAAAGTCAGTCGTTACATGGTTTTCATGTCGACTCGGGTCTCTGTTCTGGTAACAGAATGGGGCTCTATTTTGCACCGATCTCTGACAGACTCCGGTGGAACTTTTATATTCTAATTGGTGTCTGTTTTTTGTTGATAATAAAAATGTTGGTAAAGGTTCAAGCTTTCTTATCTGGCCCAAGTCTTGAATTTTTACACGACATTAGGGTCATGTGATCACTGCAAAAGGGAAAAAGAAAAAAAGAAGAGCCCTCTCACCCCAAAGCAAATTGAAGCATTTAGAAACAGGTAAATTAACTTTTTATGGATGATGCTCACATTAAGGCACCATGGGCAGAAACCGCACATGGGGAAGGCCTGAGATTTCATGTTGATTTAAAACGGGCTCTTCAGTCTCCACCGACCCTCGGTCTTCCTGACTGTAACAAACCTTTCACACAGACTGTTGACGAAAAGGGGGGGTACATGACCTCAGTACTACTACAAGACCATGGGGGACGACTGAGACCTGTAGCCTATTTCTCATCCAAACTGGACTCTGTTGCAGCCAAACTGCCTGAGAGCTGTGGCGGCTGCTGAAAAGCAGCCATGGCATCACGTGACATTGTGGGTTATTCAGACTTTACATTATTTGTTCCACATGCTGTGTCGATGATTTTGCTTGAACAAAAAACATCTCATCTCTCCACAGCCAGGTGGCTGAGATACAACACCTTGTTGCTTGATATGTCTAACATCACTGTTAAGAGGTGCACTGTGTTAAATCCTGCTACTCTCTCTCTACTCTCAAGTCTGCTCTCCAAGGGCAGACTTACAGGAGACTCCTCTAACAAACCCAGACATGGAGTTGTTTGTGGACGGCTCAGCATCACGTGATCCAGCAACTGGAAAAAATCGAGCAGGTTTTGCAGTAACAACTTTGCATGAGACAATTTTATCAAAACCGCTCCCTTCAAACTATTCTGCACAAGCAGCAGAGCTAGCTGCACTGACAGAAGCATGTAAATATGCAAAGGACAAAACTGGAAACATTTTTACAGACAGACGTTATTCTTGGGGTGTTATTCATGATTTTGGGAGATTGTGGGCAAACAGGAAGTTTTTAACATCCACAGGCAAACCTAATGCTCATCACACACTGGTTGATGAACTACTTGATGCTGTGCTGTTGCCCAAAATGGTTGCTGTGTGTAAATGTGACGCTCACGCGAACAAACTTGATCCTATCTAACAGGGGAATGCCAGAGCTGACCTTGCATCGTTCCCCGGGACGACCCGACAGGCCGGGTTTTGGATTTTGGATTTCTGTTATTCAGCCACTCACCTGTAAGTGTGCTCCCTTTTGGTTATATTAATACCCTTTGTTGAACTATACCTGCTCCGGTGCGTTTGGGTCCTCCAACCTGCCTCCACACCACGATCGTGACAGATTCAGATCCCACAGGTGGCACACCCACCCCCAGACAAACCATTTGAGCACCTGCAAATGGACTTCATTGAACTGACACCGTCACAGGGGAAGAAATATTGTCATATCATGGTAGAAATGTTCTCTAAATGGGTAGAGGCATTTCCAACATCTAAACAGGACGCAGCAGCAGTTTCAAAAGCTTTGATAAGCCAGATCATTCCTCACTGGGGGATCCCAGCTAAGATCTCCAGTGATAACGGCACACCTGTCATCAGCGCAGCATTGAAAAGTGTAGGGGAGGATATGGGGATTGATCTGAGGCAACATTGTGCCTATCATCCAGCTAGCGGAGGTGCAGTTGAAAGAGAGAACGGGACGTTGAAAAACAAGCTTGTTAAATGCTGTGAAGAAACAGGTTTAACATGGAAAATGCCGATCGTTTTAATGCACATGAGGAGCCGGATGAGGGGCAGATGGGGTCTCAGTCCTTTTGAAGTCCTATTTGGCAGACCATTGAACACAGGGATTGGGCCAGTAAAAAGACAACTCCCTGATACCAGCCAATGTGAGGATGAAATGTTGAGATATTGTACTAATTTGTCCTCTGTGCTTTCTGAAATTTACATGCAGGTCAAAAACACCATCCCAAAGGCCGCATAAAAGAAACTGCACGATCTGGAGCCAGGGGACTGGACTGTGGTGAAGGACTTTAGGAGAAAGCATTAGTGGGCTCGCAGGTGGACTGGGCTATTTCAGATGCTGCTAACAACAGAAACAGCAGTAAAAGTGGCTGAAAGAGCAACTTGGATTCACGCCACAGACCAGGTGAAGATGGAGATCAGTGAGTGAGCTGAGCTTTCCCCTGCCTTGTGTTCCTAGGGAGGGAGGGGAGTGAAGATCTCTGAGACCACCTAGAACCACTGATCTCCCAAACACTCACCGCGGGCACACTGATTACAGGGGTAGGCAAGGTGACACAACTGATATGACGCCAGAAACCAACAGATGGCTCTGGAGAGGTGACAGACCGAGAGAAAACGGAGGCGTTGTTCTGCTCACTGTCATCATCGTCCTGTCATCATTTCCAAACATGAAAACAACAAACTTTGGCCTGACTGAGGGAAAGATCCAGGCCGAAGAGGAGTCACACGTCCTCCCTGACAGCCCGGCTGGGCTGAAAGACAATGCATGGTATCAACCATGATGACCACTTCAAGAAAAGTGACCAATCAGAGGTGTTATGCGTGTGCACAGCTCCCTCATAGAGTGGGAGACTCCATACCAGTGAAACCCAGACCACTAAATGTTAGAGAAACTAGGAGCCCTGTCAACCTTCACTCAAGGGTTTCCCAGGGTTGGCCGAGAAGTTAAGGAGATGACCAAGGAACTTGAACTGTGTAACATCAGCATGGTCAACTTTGGTTTCTCCACAACCCGATTCTGGAACACGTCTCAGATAACGGAGCAGAAAATCTACAAGCCCATCATGACAACGGATCCAACAGCCCGAACCGGAATGGTGTGTTTCACCAGACAATGTCTCACACCAAGAGATTGTTTCCTAGTAACATCATCATGTAAGCAGACGGTTACAGCAACCTGCGGCATGACATCTGATCATGGAGCCAGCAAGGAGTACAAGTGGACGCAGCCAAGCATCGCCCCACTGAACCTGAATTAAGGAGCGAAAACCCGGTTCTTACAATTCCTCCTTCTGACGGCTATGGAGCACTGAGACAACACATGTGGGTATGTGGACAACATGTTTATCAATATTTGAGACCTGGATGGTGTGGGACGTGTTATGCTCACCTGATGACGTTGTCCATTGCCCTTTGGCCAATTATATTACGTCCCCGTCGTCTGTTTTTGCTAAGGCTGAATCCAGCCTCGTCAATGTAAATACATTGATGCGCCTGGGCAGCTCCATCCATGTCCAAGATTCTCTGTAACAAAAAAATACATATTGTGGATGGTTTTACTCAAAGCACACACCAACACTACTACACATACAGTACTGACCCACCACACAGGTACCTGTGTAGCTTTCTGAATGTGTCTATGTGGTATTAATCCAGTGGTACATATTCATCTGTTACTGGACTGCACCCATTCTGTATTGTAAATGTAAAGGACTGAAACACTTACCTGTACATATTCATGTCGAAGTTCTTTGACCCTGACACTGTTCCTCTCAAATGGGACCCTGTACAATTGCTTCATGGTCATGTTGTGCTTTACCTAGATGTGTCTGGTAGTGGTAATGCTCGATTTATGTTGTTGAATACTTGCCTATCTGCAAGCTTGACACACTAGATGAATAAAACACACTCTTATTAAAATTTAACAAATTTAATAATAATCTCAAACGCTGCAGGTTGTTCACCAGTGAGGAGCTGTGAAACAACAGCACGGCTCTGTTGATAAATAAAAAGTAAAAGTTAAGTTCTCTGAGGGAGTTGTAGCCCTACTGGTTTTCAAACTAACTGGCTGTCATACGTGTGCGCGTGTTGTGTGCAGCAGCTGCAGACTGACTCCATCCCCAGATTCGTCACATTCACAAACATGTTCCTGGCGAGTTTCAAGTCGCATCTTTAATCTACTGCAGCGATCGTGATTGTTGAAGTGAGCACTAAATTAGAGCCACATATGGAAAAAGAAATGAAAGAAAACAGACTTTTCACAAAATCTCAAGCTGGATTCGAACTCACCTGATCAAAAGGTAACATCTTCTCGCAGCTCTCCATGTTACCTGCAAGCTAACCGAGCAATCATAAATTACTGGTGTCCAGTCACGTCATCATCCAGGTAACACTTTGTTTGGGCTGATCTGAAACAACTGGTTACCTTGAGCGATCTTAAAAAATACCACAACATGTTTATCAAGGTGTTTTTCTCGACCAGTAGGGTTACAATGACCGGGTCCGTTTGTTTTGGAGAGGAGACGACCTCAGAGGTAATTCAGCTCCAGGTAGATCCCTGTCAGGGCTCTGAAGTGGACCCAGAACAACTCTCATCAGCTGTTAGCTCTAATGTTAAACACTAGCAGGACTAAAGTTACGGTGCAGGTGTGTTAAAACTATAACTTAGCACAACATCACTGCGCTGTAATAACGTTATGCTTTATTAAATGTTACATAATTAACAAAATAACTATATAATGTCAGTCCAGTGACTGTTACCTGACAACAGACCTGCCTCTCATTCTGGCAGTAAGTCAGCCTGCCGAGTGAAGACAGACCCATGTGAGCGCTGAACGATTATTTCATTCCTGCTCCACAGTAGCCAGCTGTCACGTGACAAATGAACGACTCAAACCCAGAGAACCACAGTTATGAATCCTGAACTAATCAGTTCTGTTTCCTGTGCTGCCTGCTTACCACAGCCCTGTAGCCAGCTGTCACGTGACAAATGAACGACTCAAACCCAGAGAACCACAGTTGGGATTCGTGAACTAATCAATTCTGTTTCCTGTGCTGACGGAGACCTCCAAGACTCACTGAGACAACCCGTTCCTCCTGAGTTACATACAAGATTAGGTCAAATGAACGAAACGTTCTTTGAAGGACACAACACTAACATGTTGTGTGATACGTTGTGCTTGATCTATGATCACAGCAGTAATTAAATCATCAGTGGTTCAGTACGTGCAACTACCAACTGCACCCACTGATTCAGTGGAATGGATCCCACCTTTCAGAGGGGATGAAAGTGAAGTTTAATCTGAATCATTTCTAAGTTTCTTACGTATCTTATGGATTTTTGTTTAAGAGGTATTACACATCCAAAGAACTTCTATAAAAACCAGACCAGGCGTTTAATTGAGGTAGTTTTAGGTATTGTGTTTTTTTTATTACTGTGTTGTCTGCTTATGATTGTAAGTGCATGTTTTTTAATGTTGTCTGTATGACATGAATTAATGTTCAAACTGGCAGGGACTCCAGATAAAAATTAGTCTGTATGGCTAAATCTGACTCATTTACCTTTGGGCATTGTCTTTATGTTCTTTAATGTGCACTCCTCCTTTTAAATAAATAAATATAAAACAATATTCTATAGAGATACAGAGAGTTGATTTATCCAGCAGTCATTGGTTCATCACAGGACTCTTATGATCATCGATTGGAGAAAATAATTAAGAACTAAAATGTGAGAGTGCTCTGTTATAAGTTTGTATGTCTTACAGGTTTTATATATTTTTTTCCCTGATTGACTGATGAGTGTTTATAAGATCAGTGAATGATTCAGAGTTACCTGCGGCCCTGTGTCGATGTGAATACACCATGAGGACAATGGAGATGCAGTACGGACAGAACATCACCAGGTGGCAGACCAGTCTGAACACAAGCAGGAGGGAGACTGAGGCAGGGGGCTGAGCAGACAGCACGAGAGAGGAGAAGGAAGAAAACTGTGCTGCTTTGTTTTGAACTATGCTGGATGTTTTTGTGTGTAGTAATAAAACTAAATAATATAAACATATGTCCAGTCATGAGACATCTGAAATGTCTCATGTGCTTTCAGTGAAGTAGTGAATTTCATTTACAAACTGTGGCTCTGCTGATCTGTGCACAGTTTAAACACAGAATAATGCAGGTTTTTACTTAAAGAGAACGAGAGAAAAATGTACCACTGATGTGGCAGAGGGAGGTAATTGTGCACTCCTGATCCAGGTGTGACCCGGCTGTGCAGTCGTAGAAAAACACGTGTGATCAGATGAGGGTTCAGAGGAACTCTGAAAATATATTTTCTTGTTTCCTCTCTCCTCACGTCTTTAGTGGGATGGACTGAGAGGCCAGGAAAAGGAAACGTGGATGCGACAAAGAGAATTAGCATGAAAGTGTTCTGATAACTCTACAAATCCCTCCTTTCACACCATTTATTGGTGTGAAATCACTATTAGACTGTGCAAACTACAGTTATGTCACTGAAAATAAAAACATTACATAGGCCTACGCATCAAAATATGACCCCAAAAAATTTAGATATTTTAACAAAACAAGTTGTAAAATCAAATTAAGATTTATGCAAAGAAATCATCTTCCTCTATTTGTAGAGTTTAAAAAGTTACAACAAAGCTGATATTTCTTACAAAGGGTATTTCAGTGTAACCTGCTGGGTTTTAGGCCAGACGATTGCATCAGAATATTGATTAAACCATTGTTTGAATCCTCTTTGTAATGTGAGGAAAACTGACACCTCTTTGTTTAGTGCCAGAAGGACTGTTTTGTTTTAACTGTTTCATTGACACTTAAGATAGGGTGTCAACCATTTTGTAGACAAGCCCTGTTGTTCTCTATGATTAGTTTAGAGCAAAAGACTGTTTATTCCTGTAGATTGAAGGGGGTTTCAGGTCTGGGATTGGCAATGGTACACCCTTCCTAATTGGGTGACGAAAAAGTTAATCAAACGACCAACGGCTATGGACCTGAGCCATTTGGAGGAAAATGGACCCGCCCACATACCTGGAGGATATTAACAATTCATTTTGTAAGAATCAGGACTGTAAGCCGTGGATCTGGGAGGAGGACCTACTTTTCAGTCCACTGCAGTGTTATTGGTTTGTTCTGTAAACCATCACTTTATTCACTAATTTTTTGTAATTAAATCTTTTTGTTAATTTTAATGTGGACCCAGCCTCTGCTTTCTCAAAATCTGAAAATGCAACAAGGCCTATTATGACACTATTATGCAGAAAAAAGTCACATTAAGAAGTAAGCTCTTTGCATGATTCGAACCTGGACCTCCTGAATGCAGGACAGCCATATTGTGTTAGGATTTAGTTTGGTGCTGTTGTTTTTGTCTGTGTTTATTTGATATTGTCATGGTTTGGAGTTTGGTAGTCTAGTTTATTATTTCGTTCATTTGCCTTAAGTACTGTCTTGTCTCATCGTATTTCCTTAGTTCTGTGTCTC